TCAGCCAGCAGATCAACGATGTTCTGGGACGCCTGCAAAGCAAGCAGCTCTTCCAAACCACCTGGGATATCGTGGCTTTTGCCATCTTCTTCACCTTCATCGGTAGGCGGAGGGAGGGAGAGGAAGAGTTTGGGTGGGCAGCCACCCTGCTTCAGGAGTTGCTAATTTTGGGGCCTCCGCATGGTGCAAATGGTTTGAGAGGGTTTGGTACTTCGAAGAAAGATGGCACCTTCCCAGGAGAATGTAAGCAGGGGTTTAGGAAGAAACAAGAGCCACAAAGTCACGAATTAGCTTGGTGGAGCCGAACAGGCACAAAGTAGATCAATGGAAGAGAAAAACCTCCTACACAAGAAAAGCTGCCCATAAAGCAAACTATTTCACCTGCATCCATCAGCAGTATCTCAATATCTATAGCTTCTTTGTTTAAGTATGTCCAGGGGTGGGATTCTACCAGTTGGCACCTATTCGCTAGAACCGACTGTTAACAATTCTAAGCAGTTCGGAGAACCGGTTGTTAGAAGAAATTACTGGCCTAATCCTGTAAGGAAGGCAGGAAGGAAACATTCTGGGGTTGCTTACAGAAACTGCCTCTCCGTTAACCCTTATTACATTCTTGGCAGGACTAGACTTCCTGTCTTAGGAACCTCTCTGGAATTGTTTTTTTCCTCCTTTGCTGGTCCTTTGCTTGTGTGGAGTGACCATTCAAAGTTACAATGGCACTGAAAAAAGTGACTTATGACCATTTTTCACACTTACGACTGTTGCAGCATCCCCACAGTTATGAGGCTAGGTGAGGAGATGTGTGCCTCGATGTGAGTGATATTGAGTTGGCCACACCCAGCCAATAACATGACCACCAAGCCATGTCCACCCAGTCACATGACCACCAAGCCATGCCCACTAAGCCACTCCCACAGAACCAGCTGTTAAAAAAATTGAATCCCACCCCTAGGTATGTCTAACGTCTGAGAGGACTACAGGCGACATGATAGTAGTTGGAGGGACTGCCACAGAGAAAAGGGGGAGTAACTTAATGATGAGGATGTTGAGACTCTAGAAAAAGTGCAGAGAAGAGCAACCAAGACAGTTAGGGGACTGGAGGCTAAAATATAAACGGTTGCAAGAACTGGGCCTGGCTAGTCTAGGGAAGAGAAGGACCAGGGGAGACAGGATAGCAGTCTTCCAATAGTTGAGGGGCTGCCACAGAGAGGAGGAGGGGGCGGGTCAAGCTATTTTCCAAGGCAGCTGAAGGCCAGGCAAGGAATAATGGATGGAAACTGAACAAGGGAGATTCAACCTGGAAATAAGGAGACATTTTCTGACCGTGAGAACAATCAACTAATGGAATAGAAGTCACCTTTAGAAGTTGTGGGAGCTTCATCACTGGACGCTTCCAAGAGACTGTCAGAAATGGTGTAGGGTCTCCTGCTTGGGCGGGGGGGCTGGACTAGATGACCTACAAGATCCCTTCCAACTCTGTTAATGTTACCTGTATTTTGAACTTATTCTGCAAAGCACCAGAAAGGCAGGGCAAGAAGCAATAGGTGGAAGGTTATTATAAAGAGATTCAATCGGGAAGAACTTTCCTGACAGTGAGAACAATTAACCAGGGGAACAACTTGTCCGCAGAGGTTGTGGGTGCTCCATCTCTGGAGGCTTTTAATAAGAGAATGGACAACCCTTTGTCCAGAATGGGATGGGGTAACCTCTGATAGGCAGGGGCTTGGATTAGAAGACTCCCAAGACCCCTTCCCACCCGATGACTCTATGTTCTGTGAGATGGAAACCAGGATGGAGAAGGAAGCCATCCTGGTTTTGGATATAAATTCAGGGACCGATCCATATTCTTTTTCCCCCAGGGATGGTTCTCTTGCTGGGCCTCCTTGCGTTGATCCGATGTTGCTGCTGTGATTGTGATGCTCCCAGTTCATACAAGAAGGTAAGCAGCTTCAGCAAGGCCTGGCCTGGAGTTGCACATTTAATGGTGGGACCAGATTCAGGCCTCCGGTTTGGGAGGGTGGTTTCTCTCTTCCCCCCCAACCCCTCAGAGGATAGGAAGTCTTCCTTCACTGTGTACGTTCAAGCAGAAATTGGACCATTGGTCCATCAGAAATGCTGGAATTAACACTGTTTTCTGAGCAGGGATGAAAACACACAGATCTAAATGATCCTTTCCAATGCCAGGGTCCTCTGAGAACCCAACTTTCAGAAGGCATCGTTTCTTCCATTTTGCTTCTAAAAACTTTGCCATATTTTCATTCCCCCAAAGTGCATCATAAGTTGCTTTGGATAGTGAGATGGGTAGTGTTGAAAGTTTACCCTCCGGCAGAAATGAAGACAACCCCTGACAGGATTTAAAACATTTAAGAAATACAAACACAAGCACACACACACAAAAGGAGAAAAGGTATAAAAAATCAGGGACTTATTATACAAAGCTAGCTAGCCCAGGAACGCAGACTTCTTGCTATCTCTTGCCTTCCTGAAAATTAAAAAAGATCCAGCTTTCAAGCAGTTGTCTGTATCCTTGCACTGGAGCTCTCCCAGAGGGAAAATCGAATCCTCAGAAGAAAGGCATTTTGACAGCCTTTCAACAGTAGCATAATTTTTTAGTGCTATGTGTAGTCCTCTTTTTTCTCCATACAAAGGGGTAAAAAAAATTCAGAAAGACTAGGGTGCAGTACAGCTTCAACACCAACCCAACAATGAGTTAAGAGGACCTCGCGGAACAAAATCTGTTGGTGGGACAAACTTAAAAGCTGCCTTTTCTTGTTCTAACAAAATTTGACCAGATACCAATTCTGGAATTGAATTGTGGCTTAGCCTAAGAGTGAATAAATGCAATTCCCATTGGACAAATGTGCCTTTTACCATATAATGCTCTTTTTCCTGATATTCCATAAACATCATGCTCTTCCACTACAGGTCAAGAAAAGGAAAGTTGGTATTGACAATATGGGCATGGAGCCATAGACGCCATATGACCAATCGTCTGAGCAGCTGGCTTTAACTGATTTTTCTCTGCTGTGCTGGAATTTTTTTGTAAGAAATCAGATTTCTTCTGGGAGGAACTGTGAGACAGGTGAGCCCTCATGAGGCTTAGATGCTCCTGCGATGATTCTTAGTCCATGTCTGTGTGCCATAAGTTGGGGCGAACAACTCAGCCATTCTCACCGTTGGCAACTATCGGCTTCTTCTGATCATTAGTAACAAGGAAAGAGCTAATGAAATACATAGTCCACGAACAGTGATAATCCTCTTTTGCCAAACTCTTTATCTTGTGGGTCTACCAGTTGGGTTTGTTAGCATGTGCTTTAAAAATGGAATCACGAGGGGTCTACTTTGGCCATCTTAGTCCCATCAAATGCTGACAGCAACCAAAACAAGATAAATAAATCTGTTATTGAGATGGGCTGCTTTTATTGTCCTAGATTGGATTTCTCTATAGAAGCAGCCCAGACCGTGTACCAGCTTGGTATAGCATTATCCTCTTTGTAATACTGAAAACGTTTTTTTTTTTAATCAATTCAGGACGCTTCGCACCAAGGGTGTCTAAGTTGGGCAACTTTTAAGACTTGTGGATTTCAACCCCCAGAATTCCCCAACCAGCATGACTGGGGAATTCTGGGAGTTGGAAGTCCACAAGTCTTAAAACGTTACCAAGATTGGACCTTGCTGCTTTAGATCTTCTTGTTCTAATATCCCGCATTTGCAACATTTCCAAGATCGGTGTCCTAATTTTCGATGTAAAATGTAGTCTCTTGATTATTGTGAGGCATTTTCTAGTTGTGGTTGAATAAATTTAGATGGGTGTATACGGGACTGAAGTTTAAAAGGAGTTTGTTTTGATGTTCCCCTTTTACCCAAAATTTAATAGACCCAACAGAAGGGGTGGGGAATCTGTTCTTTGCACGTGATTAAAAAAATATTAACCCGGCGTGGATAAGGAACCTGGATCCTTCCCAGGAAAATGGACTTCTGGGTCATTTTGGCTGAAGGTTGAATTTAGCCTTTCTGGAACCAATTCCAATTCATTCCATTTCTCCATCTCTCATGCATGTCCCATAACCTCTCCCCAATTCCCAAAATCTGGTGTCCAAAGGCTCTCCTCCAAAAACACCAAGCCAGGAACCACAATAATCAGGGAGGTTTATTCCAGACACAATATTAGGAGCAGGGAGTAGGGTTCACCTATGTATAGCAGCAACTAACTTTGTTACCAAGGCCACCTTGGTCTTGTCTACTGTTTGGTGGCTGGCAAAGATTCTCTGGAAGAACTGAGGAAGAAGCAGTGTCTCTATGCTTTTACAAAATAGGGGGGGGGGGGGTGACCCAGGGGTGGGATTCTACCAGTTTGGACGAACCGGATGTTAAATTTGCATTTGGTTTGTCGAACCAGTATTCCTTGCAGGAGTCTCCACAGGGCCCGTTTTGGGTGCAAATAAGTGCAGGATCTGCACGGAGACTGCGGAAGGGGTGAAAAACAGCCTTCCTGGAAGTACCGGAAGTCGGGAAACGGGCCTGTTTCCTGCTTCCGGAGGGCCTCCAGAGCCCGGGGGAGGCTGTTTTTTTGCCCTTCCCAAAGGCCTGAGGGAAGCCTCCGGACCCTTGGAAAGGCGAAAAACGGCCCTCCCGGAAGTTCCAGTGGGCCCTGCCCACTATACCACCCCCCGCCCGCCACACCCAGCGACTGGGCCGTGAACTGGTTGCTGGGATTTCTAAATCCCACCCCTGGGGCGGCCCGCCCTCCAAAACCACCAGCTGTCCCTGAATGTTTTTCAAACGCGACGTTATGGAAGTGAACCGTCACTCTGGGTGCCAAAGGCTTGAGAAGAGGCAGGCTGGAGGGAGAACAGAACCCAAAATGTGATAAGGATTTGCCAAGAAAGGAACAAACTGCGACCCACCCCGTAGTTGGGTCTTTCTGAGGCAAGCCCAGTGCAGGGTCAGCAAAGGCTGCTCTTCATCCCTCACCCCTCTTTCCAACGAGGTGCAGTTTGACCAGTGTTTATATTGGCTCAGCTGAGCTTTGATGCCCGCGGAAAGAAATGAACGTTTACTTCTAAAGTGCTAATAAATAATGACATTCCGACTACGCAGATGTGGAGGACGGCCGTGGCTTCCTGCCCATCAGCTGCTACTACTACCCACGGAGCGGCAGAAATCTGGGATGTCCTTCACAGATACCGTTTATATCGTGAGATTCCCTTCACGGGGAAGAGAGCGGCTGAAGACAGACTGGAACCGCTCTCGGAGGGGAAATCAGTAGGGCCGGTAGTTCCAGTAGCCGGAAAACACAGCGATCTGTGGTGGGGGGAAGAAGAACACAAAAAAGGAGATCGAAAGTTGGCGGGCGATAGGGGTTTGGCTCCTGTTCTTCAGTAGAGTCAAATCTGTAATGGGAAACGTATCCCTGGTCAGCATTTCCCAAAAAGGAAGTGGCATTCAGCCGGTTCTGACCAGTTCTGGAGAACCGGTAGCGGAAATTTTAAGTAGTTCGGTGAACCGGCCAATGCCACCTCTGACTGGCCCCGCCAACCCCCCATCTCTTCTCTGCCTCCCGTTGAGTCCCAGCTGATCGGCTGGGTCTTTTTTGGTTGCCCTGCCCAGGAGAACAATGTTATGGAAGCGACTGATAACTGGGTAACTTGGTTGGTAAGACAAGGCAATGGCTCTTGGCTTTGCAACAGTTCATAATTATCTGGCATTGCTTTACACACGGGTGTCTGTGGGGTTTCATCAGCAAAGACACAATAATGGCTGCCTGGGGCAACCTGTGTGTGTGTGTGTTGGGTGTTCGTCACACAATCCCAGCCACCATCTGGACTTTTTATTTTGACCACACCTTGTAATGGCATGCGGAAAAAACCTTGGGAGAGCCATCAGAGAGACACCGCCAAAGGAACGGTCAGATATGAGAGAGTGAAGCCCTCAGGTGGAGAGTGGGCAGAGCAATAGGTTCAGAAGAGACCCTCCCTAGTTTCTGGGTTGTAAAGGAGATGGGGGGAAAGGGGTGAGATTGTACTTCCCGGCTTGCAAAGGTTCTGTTAAATACAGTGAAAGTTCAGTTAAGCTCACCTGGTTAGAACTCTCTATCTGGTTTACCCCCAAAGCCAACATCCATGTTGCAAATCTGCAAGTACCATCCTCGCTCTTGTCTCCTTTAGAGCCCAGGGAGCGTCTCTCCTGAGCTTCTTGCTTTGCCCATTATCCAAACTGCAGGTTATGCTGTCTCCTATCTGACCATTCCCTTGGCATCACCTCCTGGTCCAGTCAGAATAGAGCTGGAAGGGACCTTGGAGGTCTTCTAGTCCAACCCCAGGAGAACCTACACCATTTCAGACAAGTGGCTGTCTAGTGTCTTCTTAAAAACCTCCCAATGATGGACCATTCACAACTTCTGAAGGCAAGCCATTCCGCTGGTTAATTGTCCTCACTGTTACGAAATTTCTCCTTAATTCCAGGTTGCTTCTTTCTTGGATTAGTTTCCATCCATTGTTTCTTCTGGTGCTTTGGAGAATAGGTTGACCCCCTTCTTCTCTGCAGCAGCCCCTCAGATACTGGAATATCATGTCCCCCTAGTCCTTTTCTCGAGACTGGCCAGACCCAAATCCTGCAACCGTTCTTCCTATGTTTTAGTCTCCAGGCCTTTAATCATCTCAGTCGCTCTTCTCTGCATTTTTTCCAAAATCTCAACCTCTTTTTTTGTAATGCGAGGACCAAAACTGGATGCAGTATTCCAGGTGTTGTCTTACTAAGGTTTTTATAAAACTGTACTAATACTTTACGTAATTTTTGATTCTGCGAAGATCCTCCCAAGGTCTTTCCCACATACTATTATATTTCTGCTTTATGCCTGAATGTGACCTTTCCTCTTTCTAACACTATCAGCATACACGCTGATGTCTTTTTTTAAAAGGCTGCAGATCAAATTTAGGAGGTTTTGCACATAAAGTGCTGATTCCCAGAGCTGTCCTACATTTATTTATTTAAAGGATATATGCTAGGAAAGCAAAACACATCCTTCAAATTGCATTAATAGAGGGATATAAATCAAGATCAAGTGAGGTACTGATGCCACTCTATAAATCCTTAGTAAGACCACACCTAGAATATTGCATCCAGTCTTGGTCACCCCACTATAAAAAAGATGTTGAGACTCTAGAAAGAGTGCAGAGAAGAGCAACCAAGAGGATTAGGGGACTGGACGGTAAAACATATAAAGAATGGTTATAGGAACCGGGCATGGCTAGTCTAGGGAAGAGAAGGACCAGGGGAGACATGATAGCAGTCTTCCAATATCTGAGGGGCTGCCACAGAGAGTCAAAGCTATTTTCCAAGGCACCTAAAGGCCAGACAAGGAATAATGGATGGAAACTGATCAAGGAGAGATTCAACCTGGAAATAAGGAGAAACTTTCCGACAGTGAGAACAATCAACCCATGGAACAGAAGTTGCCCTCGGAAGTTGTGGGAGCTTCATCCCTGGAGGCTTTCAAGAAGAGACTGGACTGCCATTGGTCAGAAATGGTGTAGGGTCTCCTGCTTGGATCGAGGGTTAGACTAGATGATCTACAAGGTCTCTTCCAACTCTTAACAATCTGTTAAAAACACAGTCTCCCCATTCACCTCACCTTATCCTTGAGCTGCTGGCAAAGCTGCAGCGAGACGGTGAAGAAAACCAGGGCATCGTTCAGCCAGGGCACCACGCACTCCACCTTGTGCACGTGGCTGACTTCGTATCTTTGGTTTCCGTACTCACTGCAGGAGGAGAGAAAGAGGCTTTTGCTTTCGGTGATGTGACACAGAGAGGAAACGTCTCCTTTCTGCCCCCCAAGGCACGCCCCCCCCCCCCCCCCCCGAAGGTGCAGTGGTACTTACAACATAGCCCCGGGGTTATGCAAGATGGACCCTCCAGCTGGCCGGAAGTTCTGAAAAAATAAAACCAGAGAATCCGATTTAAAACTGCTTTTACCGGGACCGGCCACAAGAACAGAATCTTGCAAACTTGGTTATGTTCTTATCTTCCTTGTCCTCCTTATAGTTCTGTGAATAAATAAAACTTTATTTAGGTCAAAGTGAATTCCTCTCCAATAAAATTCCAGCAAATAGTCTTTCATGAGATTTCACAACTATAGACCTTTATCAGGCTTGGAGAGCTGCCAGGCCAATGTCTCCCAAACCCCACACTGTAGCAGCAATTACTTGGCAAGAAGTCAGGAACAAATCTTCAGACTAATTAAACGAACTAATTGCCTCCTGCAAACACCACTCCCCTTTTGCTCCTCTTTTATTCCCTATGGGAGGGGCCATTCACCGTCCACCTGTGCCGTCACTCCTGAATTGACTCTTGTTCCTTAACTGTTCCCTTCTGGCAGTTCTGTGCATGCGCACACCGGGAACAGGCTCCGGCTGTTCTTCTGCCCCACTGATCTCTGACTTCAAAGGCGGTTGATAATTGTCGGAACAGCCCTGGCCCCATCTCTGCCTTTGCTGCAGAGCCTTCCCCAGACTCCACGATGTGTTCCTCCCCAACCTCCTCACTGTCTGAGTCTGCTGCCAACTCCCCTGGTGGGCCACAACAGCCTGTCTATTTCACAATTAGAATGTTTCACTTCCCAAGCAATAGATGTTGCCCATTTTTAATCGAGATCACCTGCTGTCCTCTCTATGGGGATCAAAGCGATGCTATGAGAATCAGCGGTGATGTTAGAAAAATCGGGAAATAGGTCAGAAGAAAGAATGATTGACTGATTGTGAGTCATCAAGCCCTTTTCAACTCCTACCAACTACATTATCTCTACAAGAAAACAGGAAGTCCCTGGCCTATCGAAACCCCTGCCCCAAGGGGGGACTCTAACGTCTATCATTCCCACCAAGCCACGATCTTCAACATATCCTCACCCAGATTCTGCCCATGTCAGGTAGTGCTCCATTCCAAATTCAAGAAAGAAATACTTAGACTCCATAGAGAAAAGATGTCTTTTACTGAAAATGAAGTGATAGCAACCGTAGAATTCTGAATCTGAGAAATTAGGCGCGCAAATCACACATACAAAGTGATGGAAATGTTCCCACCCCCGATAGCTCAAATGATTCTTCCAATTAAAAGTTGTGAACATGATCATGTGGGCATCTTCAGGTGGTGATGAGGCCTCTGTCCGTTGACCTTGGCATATTTTGATAAAGATTTGCAGCTGCGCGGAGGAAAGAAAGCTAAGCGAGAAATAGAAACCTAAACAGGAATTTATACTTCCCCCCCTCCTCATTTTACACAACACTGGAATGTAACACCTCCAGCTCGCTTCCCGGACTTTATCCCCTCCTCCCCCCGTTACTTATGGCAGCCAAAAGATGCAAAGCAATAGTAGAAGATCTTGAAGGCTGACAGCCCAGATGCGAGGAGAAGGTGGCTTGCAGCCAGGTTACCTGTCTCATCTTCTTAATATAATTTTGGACTTGGCACCCCTCTTGGGGCTGAGGAGCTCAAGGTGACCTGCTCCTTTCTCCTGTTTTTCTCTCTCCCCCCACCCCAACAATCCTCAGCAGGAGATTGGGGCGAGAGGGGTGGCTGGCTCAGAGATACCCTGTGTGAACCTTCATGGCTGAATCTGGGTTTTTTTCTTCCCTCGCGTAGGGCAGTCACCTTGGCACCAGGCTGTCTCTTACAGAAGGAAAGTGACTAAGTCAGCCAGCACGTCCTGGTTTTCTGTGAAGCCAAGGGTAGTTTTTTTTTTTCAAGAGTCAACTGGACTTTCTTGCTTTTCTTTGAAGATGTTTCTCTTCTCATCCAAGGAAGCTTCTTCAGCTCTGACTTGATGGTGAGGCAGGGAAGGATTTATACTCCTTGCAGACTGCTGGTCATTTGCACTACTCAGGTGACCTTGAGGACACCTATAAACCTCCAAGTGGCCTCAACGACTCTTTTAAAAGGATGCAAATAACCAGCTTTCTGCAAGGAGCATAAATCCTTCCACTCCCCACCATCCTGTCAGAGCTGAAGAAGCTTCTTGGATGAGAAAAACAAAACGCCTTCAAAGAAAAACCAGAATGTCCAGTTGCCTCTTGAAAAAAAAAGCACCTTTGAGATAACTATGACCTGGATGACTGAGAGTCTCCATAAACATCTGGGGAACAACCGCTCACTTACATTGCTTAACGCAGACCCTGGACGTAGTCCCACACTGTTGTTCTTGCTACTTCTGGCTTCCCCAGTTTTTCTCTCCCTCCTCCCTTCCTTTCCAAAAACAACAATCTTGTGAAACAGAGAGAGTAGCCAATGGGAGAGAGAGCTGTCCCTTAAGAGTCATCTAGCGACAGCCTTTCCAAGAAAACCAGACACGAAACACATACCAGATGTGCTAACTCAGCTTTACTGTAGGGCTGCACTGTACTGTACTGTACAAGATTAACAAAATCTTGTAAGTTTGAGAGTTTGAATGTACCAATTCCCCCACCGTCTCTTTTTACAGCCTGGAAATTAGTTGGACCATAAGAAAGGCTGAGCACCCACAGAATGGAGGCCTTTGAACTCTGGTGCTGGAGAAGACTTCTGCAAGGCCATCCAACCGGTTGGTCCTAGAGATCAACCCTGGACTGCTCTTTAGAAGACCAGATCCTGAAGATGAAACTCAAAGACTTTAGCCACCTCATGAGAAGGAAGGAAGGACTCAGGGGAGAAGATCTGAATGCTGGGAACGGTTGAGGGAAGAAGGAGAAGGAGAAGGAGAAGGAGAAGGAGAAGAAGAAGACAGCAGAGAAGGAGGGGGCTGGATGGAGTCACAGAAGCAGCAGGCGTGACCTTAAAGGGACTCTGGAGGATGATGAAGGACAGGAAGGCCTGGAGAAACGTTGTCCATGGGGTTGCAATGGGTTCGACACGACTTTGCAACTAACAACAACAAAATTTGGAGGAGTGTCTCTGTTTTTGAGTATCTTTCTCTGCCTGTTATGCAGCTGCGGGCTAGGTCCTCTTTTATCGGACTGTTCCCTAGGCAGCATCTCATCCAGGGGTGGGATTCAAATTTTTAACAACCGGTTCTGTGGGCGTGGCTTAGGTGGTGGGTGTGGCTTGGTGGTCATGTTATTGGCTAAGTGTGAAAAATGGTCATAAGTCACTTTTTTTCAGTGCCATTGTAACTTTGAATGGTCCCTCCACACAAGCAAAGGACCAGCCAAGGAAGGGAAAAAAACTCCAGAGAAGTTCCTGAGACAGGAAGTCTAGTCCTGCCAAGAACATAATAAAGGTTAACGGAGAGGCAGTTTCTGTAAGCAACACCAGAATGTTTCCTTCCTGCCTTCCTTACAGGAGTAGGCCAGTAATTTCTTCTAACAACCGGTTCTCCGAACTGCTTAGAATGTTAACAACCAGTTCTAGCGAATAGGTGCAAACCGGTAGAATCCCACACCTGATCTCATCCCTGCTATTCCCTCGAAGTCATTCTCATCTGCCATTTCATCCAGGGAGCTTCTCTGGTTGAGCAGGGGCTACAACAAGGCTTTCCTTTGCGCCAGATCAAAACCTTCACCGCTACATCGCTCCGACTCTCACAGAGAGGCAGAAGGTTTGGCTGATTGGGTAAAACTGGCAGGAGGCAGCCCCCCCTCCCCCCCCCCCATGCCATCATTCTTCTCATTTTAGCAACAGGAAGTAGAAGAAAGAGGTTGAAAACTGAAAAAGCTTCTTGGACGGGAAACAAAATGCTTTCAAGGAAAAAACAACCACCAAGAAAGTCCAGTTGCCTTTTAGAAAAGCAACTTTGGAACAGCCAATGGATGGAAAAAGGAATATGAGATCTTTGGCCCCTCTTTTTCAGAGGGTAGGACAGACTGAGCCTACTACTCCAGAATAAAATTCATAAAATCTCCCTCTTATGCTGTTTTTTTTTAAACAAATGAAAATGCTTTGAACTTTGTTAACAGCTTCTTCTGGTAGAAGGCCTATTTCAAGACCAAAACAAATAAAAATGCTCAGTAAATATACTATTAAAAATTCCAGCATAAAATAATAAATAAGAATTAAAATCTATAATAAAGTCCAGTCTGTCTATTATACATGTCTAACTATACTAAAATTACAATCCATAAACCGTGTGGCCTCTGTTGCATCTTCTTCTGGTAGCATGCCCATTTAATGTCAGTCAGTGCAAACAGGGTATTTAGTGGGTTTCTTTTTAGTAATTTAAGCCAGCCCGTATCTGTGTCACCATTTCCTATTTCTTAAAAAGGCAGAGACGGCAAAACTAGCTAATCAGAGATCGGTTAAGCGTATTTCACAACATTCTGCAAAGCAAGGGTGATATGAGACACATAAAAATAAAATAAAATCCTGCAACGGCTTCTGGAAAAGTTATTTGAACCATAGGTTGTTTTTGACCAAGGTTAACATTGCTGAAAAGTCATAAAATGGGGCCCCCTTCTTTAAAGAGCAGAAAGAAGAGGCCTCAAAGGACAGGAAGAATAAGCCGTTACCAAGGCAACGGCTAGATAAGAGGGGCTTGGGCCCAGAGAGTATGCTGAGAAAACATCTCCGATAAACATCTCATTAGTTCACATGAAGATAAAGAAAGGGAGGGGAAATACATTCAGATTTGCAAGATTACGTTAACTACAGTTGTTACAACCAAGGGAGTCCTCACTTATATAATGTTAGGATATAGGATTTTAGAACTGGAAGGGACCTTGGAGGTCTTCTAGTCCAACCCCCCCCCCGCCCCCGCTCAAGGCAGGAGTCCTTGTAGCACCTCAGTCAAATGATTGTCCAGGCTGTTTTAGAAAACCTACAGCGATGGAGGACTCACAAGTCCGTAAGTTGAGGGGGTCAAATTATTTTCCAAAGCACCAGAAGGCAGGACAAGAAACAAGGGACGGAAACTAACCAAGGAGAGAAGCAACCTGGAATTAAGGAGAAACTTCGTAACAGTGAGGACAATTAACCAGTGGAACAGAAGCTGCCTCCAGAAGCTCCATCACTGAAGGTTTTTAAGCACAGTCTAGACAGTCAATTATCTGAAATGATATCAGTTCTCCTGCTTGAGCAGGGGGCTGGACTAGAAGACCTCCAAGGTGCCTTCCAGCTCTATTCTATTCTAAAAAAAAATCCCAGGAGGCAAGCTACTCCGCTGATTAATTATCCTCGCTCTCAGAATATTTCTCCTTAGTTCTAGGTTGGATGATAGCAATAGCACTTGACTTATATTGCGCTTCACAGTGCTTCACTAAGTGGTTTACAGAGTCAGCCTCTTGCCCCCAACAAACTGGGACCTTGGAAGGGGGGGGAAGGCTGAGTCAACCTTGAGCCTGGTGAGATTCGAACTGCCAAATTGCAGGCAGCCAGCAGAAGTAGCCTGCAGTACTGCACTCTAACCACAATTGAAATGTAAGCACTGTCAAAAATGGTTTATAATATACACAACGCTTTCATTTTAAATATTCGTATTGTGTTTTGTATTTGAATGTTCCAAATTTTCGGTAAAGGTTATTTTCTAAAAATAAAAATAAAGAGCCAAGGGACCAGGAGAGAATCCTGGGATTTTCCCCAGCTTCTTCCATACCTTTGTGGAACTGGGCTGCAGAGGATGCAACTGGTAGACCGTTAAGCAGACCTTATTTAGGTTGATGTAGAAATTGACCAGGATGTCTGGAGGCAGAGATGGAGTGAACATTTTCTGGAGAGAAAAGAAAAGAGGACAAACCCAGCCGATTAATAATAGTTCAGCTGGCGTCCTGAATAATCGATTTTCTCACCCTGTTCTGACCTTGGTTTCCCCAAAAAGCACTAAGCAGACGCTTTGTCCCTGCAAACCCCCTTTTATTAAACGAAGGTGAATTTCTTGCATTCACATTCAGCCAAAGGCCTGGCAAACAGTCTTTCAAGGGCCTAATTGTAAGCACAGACCTTAGCTAGCTTGGAGAGCTGCCAAGTGAATATTTCCAAACGCAGTGCTGACAAGGAAGGACTCGGCACAGAGTCTGAGATGCACAGGCAGAGCTTCACACTGCTACAACGAACGAATCGTTTCCTGCAAAAGCCCCCTCCCCTTTTGCTCCTCTTTTAATCCCTATGGGAGGGGCCATTCACCGTCCACCTGTGGCCTTACTCTCACGTCGATCCTTAGTTCGTAATTGTTCTTTTCTTTTGGCAGCTCTGTGCATGCGCAGGCTGGGAACTGGCTCCAGCTGTTCCTCCACCTCACTGCTGCCCGACTCTGAAGGCAGCTGATAACTGCCAGCCTGCCCTGGCCCCATCTCTGCCTCCGGTGCAGAGCCCTCGACCGAGCCTTCCTCAGCCTCTGAGACTGACCCAGGTTCCTCCTCAACCTCCTCACTGTCCGACTCTGCTGCCAGCTCCGCTAGCCACCGGTGGGGCCACAACACACCCTCCAAAGTTTCCCCCACCCCCAAGGTTACCGTGAGTCCACTGCTGGCGATCTCTGGCAAGGTCAAAGTGGCAGGCGTGGTGAGACGATTCCGAGCTCGTGTCAGCTGAAGCATCACAGCATCCATCAGCTGGGGAGAAGGAAAAGAAGAAACCCCCCCCAACACACTCAGTCTTAGGCTGATTTGGACATGGGGTTGGCTCTCAGCCCCAGACGAGGAAATCACCCGGACAAGGAAATCAACTCCACAAGACAGTTAACAGAGTTGGACCCTCCCAGATCCAACCCCTTGCTCAAGCAGGAGACCCTATACCAGGGGAGTGTCAAACTCAAGGCCCACGGCTGGATTCGGCCTGCGGCGAGCTTAGATCCGGCCCACCGGCTGCCTTGGAAACAGCGAAGGACTGGCCCACAGTGCCTCTGCCAGCGAAAACGGAGCTCGTGAGGGCCACGTGTGATCCTGGAAGGATCGCACATCCTTTCTGGCTGTGATGACCTCCTGCAGCCCTCTGCCAGTGAAAACGGAGGTCGGGAGGGCCCTCACAAGCTCCGCTTTCGCTGGCAGAGTGCTAGCAAACAAACTGCTAGCAAAAGTGGCATTTGATCACACGAGTGACGTCGAGCTGGCCACCCCCCCCCCCCCCGAGAGGTAAACACACAACCCTGATGTGGCCCTCAATGAAATCGAGTTTGATACCCCTGCCCTATTCCAGTCAAGTGCCTGTCCAGTCTCTTCTTAAAAGCCTCCACGGATGGAGCATCCCCCAACTTCTAAAGGCAAGCTGTTTCCATTGATCAATTGTTCTCACTGTTAGGAAGTTTCTCCTTAGTTTTAGGTTGCTTCTCTCCTAGAGTAGTTCCACCTATTGTATCTTGCCTTCAGGTGCTTTGGAGAATAGGCTGACCTCCTCTCTTCTTTACAGCGGCTCCTCAAATATTGGAAAACTGCTATCACTGTACCCTAGACTATCATTAAGTGTTGTACCTTATGATTCTTAACTTGACAAATGTATCTTTTCTTTTATGTACACTGAGAGAATTTGCACCGGAGACAAATTCCTTGTGTGTCCAATCTCACTTGGCCAATAAAAGAATTCTAATTCTAATCATGTCATTCCTTCTTTTCACCAGACTAGACATACCCAATTCCTGCAGCCCTTCTTCGTATATTTTAGCTCTAACCTCCTGTGGCTCTTCTCTGCACTATTTCCAGAGTCTCAACATCTTTTTCCTAACAGGATGACCAAAACTAGGTGCAGTATTTTAAGTCTGGTCTTACTATGGCTTTATGTAACTTTGTAATATTGGGGGAGGGAGGGAGTTAAAAATTCTTAGATTGAGACTGGCCATTAACAACAGAATCTTGCAAGTCTCGTTGTGCTGTACCTCCCCCCGCCTTATACTCCAGTGAATGAGGGGAGATGTCTGTCTGAGCTGCTTCTAAATGTTACCCCATTTCTCTACACTTGAAACGTGTCTCCGTTCCAACGGATTAGGCAGCAGCTCCTACGGAATTCATCCAGACCACTGTCCTTACAGCTGCAGAATCTGGGCCGTACAAGGGGCAAAACAGGTTCCTAAGGTGCTTAGGAACATTTAATTATTAACACAGAGAGAATCTACTTCTTGGCTAATAAGTCAACCAAAAAGATTTGACCGGAGTCCTCGCTAAAGGCTCTTCTTAAGAGCAGATAATGCTGTTGAAGCAATTGCTACAAAACTGCCTTCCATTGAGGACCTGCATACGGCAAGAGTCAAAAAGAGGGCTGTGAAAATATCTACATCCCGGAGACAAACTGTTTCAACTCCTTCCCTCAAAAACGACGCTATATAGAGCCCTGCACACCAGAACAATTAGCCACAAGGACAGTTTTTCCCCAAATGCCATCACTCTGCTAAACAACTATTAATTCCCACAACACTGTCAAACTATTTACTGAGACTGTGTTACTATTCCTCTTCTCATCCTTCCTATTACCTCTCTCCTCCTACTTATGGCTACATCCATGTTGCTTGTATCTTTACAATTTAAATTGTTTTATTTATTTTCCTAGGATGATTTATGTTGATTGCTTATTTAGTAACCTGTGACTATCACTAAGTGTTGTATCTTATGATTTATGATGAGTGTATTTTATTTTTTTCTTTATGTACACCGAGAGCTTATGTAACAAAGACGAATTCCTTGTGTGTCCAAACACACTTGGCCAATAAAGAATTGAATTCTATTCTATTCTATTCTATTCTATTCTATTCTATTCTATTCTATTCTATTCTATTCTATTCTATTCTATTCTATTCTACCTTGGCGGTTCACTTAACAACCGCTGCAAAAAAAACCAAAAAGGTTTAAAACAGGTGTCTCCAAACTTGGCAACTTTAAGACTTGTGGACTTCAGCTCCAAGAATTCAACTCCCAGCTTAGCTGGCTGAAGAATTCTGGGAGTTGAAGTCCACGAATCTTAAAGTTGTCAAGTTTTGGGACCCCTGGTCTAAAATTACGTCAGTCTGGTGATGACCCGTTTTACGATGGCCATGAGTTAGGACTGTAATTGCCAGCCTTAATTACGGGTGTAGGTCGAGGGGTCTTGGGTCACAGATTCAGGGTTTCAGAATTGCTCAAACGTTCTCTGGTTTGGTCTGGTTGAAAGTTTGGAAGCAGCATCCTTGGCTCACCTTGAGAACTTCACATCCTGACTTGAACTGGTAATTGGAGCTCCGGTTGGTAAGCAGGTAGACTGCTTGGTTGACGTGATTCCTGGCATCCTGAATCTGAAAAAGAAACCAAACTCAGATAAGAGACAAACACACAAACACACACACACCCAGGATGATCCAGATTCAGTCTAAGAGACTCATTTGGTCTTCCTTCCTTCCTTCCTTTCCATTCTTCCATCCATCCATGGTGCGTAGTGGGTAGAATGCAGCATTGCAGACTAAGTCTGCCCACTGCCAGGAGTTCGATCCTAACTGGCTCAAGGTTCCCTCCTTCCGGGGTGGGTAAAATAAGGACCCAGATTCATGGAGAGGGCTGTAAAAAGCCCTGTGAAGCGGTATATAACTCTAAGCGCTGTTGCTATTTAGCAACCTTCTGAAGTTATTACAAGGACACTAAAAAAAAGTGACTTACAACGGCTCCTTGCACTCACAGCCCCTGTGATTATGATCCAGCGATTTGGCATTTATGATGTTTACAGCATGCTTCTGTGTGTGTGTGTGTATGTGTGTGTGTGTGTGTGTGTTCTCTATCTGCAACCTTCCTGGCTGGATTCCTGTTGATTTTGCTTGTCGGAAGCCAGCAGAGAAGGTTGCAGATAACCATCTCTGAACAACCCTATTGTTTAACAATGCATTTTCGGATCCCAGTTGTAAGTTGAGGACGGCCTGTTGTTATTCTCAAGCCACCATTCTGACCAGCTTAGCTTTCTCCAAAGCTTTCTCCCACAAAGCTTAAATGTCCCCAACCAATACAGGCAAGTCTGAATGAGGTTAGAGGCCAATGGAGCAGGATACAGCTGCCCTCCGGCTGATATGAAAGCAAGTCCACCTCTCTCTCTTGTGTAAAAGGATAACAAACTGAGAGGTGTTTTGTCAACACTTCCCTCCATGCCGAGGTCTCTGTAGTTTCTTTGCTAGAGAAGCCTAAAAAAATCCACAGTTCCTACAACTAGCCTACATATTTTTCGGAGTATAAAGCGCTCCAAAGTGTAGGACGTACCTAGCTTTGGGGGAGGAAAACAACAAGAAAAAAATCTGCCTCTTTGCAGCAAACAGCCTGTTTCACATTCAGCACAGCCTTGATTAGCACAAGCAGCTGACTGTCAGTTGGACGGCCTCCCAACGATCAGCTGTTTCAGGCTGCAGGGATTTGCTATCGCCTCTTGCCGTCTCCGTGCGCCCCATTTTCACCCATCTCGTTTTCAACTTCTACGTGCCCCGTTTTCGGCCTGTTCTGGGCGGCAGGGATTGGAACGGGTGGAAAATGGGGCGCGTGGAGGCCAAAAACAGGGCATGTTTGGCAATAGGCTATGGAAATCCCTGCATTCTGAAACAGCTGATCGTCGGTATTCCAGGAGGCCGATCCAACCGACAATCAGCTGCTTATGGTAATCAGGCTGTGCTGAAGCTGAAACAGGCTGTTTGCTGCAAGGATGCAAATTGTTGTGAGGCAGAGGCCAAAGGGTGGGGCTGGCAGGTGGGTGGGGCTTCGGCAACATTTGCTGTATAAAATAAGATGCACAGACATTTCCACCAACTTTTGGGGGGGTGGGGTGGAAAGTGTCTTATACTCTGAAAAATTGTAATTTTGATTTGTTTTTTTATCGATGCAATATTTGAAATGCAGACTTCCACCTCCCTAAATTGATTTTTTTTTAAAGAAAATGTATCAAAGAATTTAGGTTTTGGGTAGGGAGTTGAGAAAACGGGGAAGGGAGAGAGTAAAAGTAATTTGGAAAATTCTTGCATGTTTGGAAAGTGGGAAGTGCAATGTTTTCTTTTCTCTTGGTTTTTATTCCCCCAAAACTAAGACACCCCCCCCACAATTCCTTTAAACAGGGAGAGAAATTCCCCCAAAGTCCAAGAGATGAAACATACTTGCTGGAGTTTCCACTGTTTGTCATCCCGGAAGGCAAAGTGGACCAGCTGGTTATTCCTGGGCATTTTCAAGTTAATGTCCTGTGAAAGGGAGAGGAGAAGAAAAAGAGCACCGGATCACATAATCTTCCTTCCAGAATTCAGATCCAGTAAACATCCCCCCCACCCGTCAAATTTCCAGCAGGGGAAATTAAACCCCCAAACTTGAGAAACAAAATGAAATGAAGAAACAAAAGGGGTGTGAGGGTGCTGGATTATAAAGCAGAGAACAGCGGAAATATTTCCTGAGCTGCATTTGCAAGAGGGTGCCTCTTGTTCCTTTGGGGTGAAAAAAACAAAACAGGCTTGGGGTAAACAAAGGCTGCCAGAGAGTTGTTGAGCTGATCCTTCTGGCCAAGCCAGGAATTGGGTTCCCCAGAGAGATCTGTTGGCCAGTCAAGAAATGAGGAGGGAGATAAAGGGTTCAATAGCTACACACACTTTCTGTTTGTGTGTGTGTGTGTTTCTATCTGACTCTGTTTCATTCTGTTTCTCTTCCTCTCTATATGTGTGTGTTTCTATGTATGTATGTAACTATTTCCTTCATTCTGTTTCTCTCTTTATATATATTTATGTGTGTGTGTGTGTGTGTGTGTATCTGCCTGCCTATTTGCTTCATTCCTTCTCTTTCTGTGTTTTTCTTTTTCTTTATTTCTATCTACTATCTGTTTTATTGTTTCTCTCTTTATATATATTTGTGCGTATGTGTTTCTGTCTGCCTATGTTTCATTCTTTCTGTGTTTCTTTTTTTCTACTGTCTATCTATCTATCTGTCTGTCTATCTGTCTGTCTATCTATCTATCTATCATCTGTCTGTCTGTCTATCTATCTATTGATCTTTCTTTCTGTTTCTCTCTTTATATATATATGTGCGTGTGTGTTTTTGCCTGCCTGCCTGCCTATATTTCATTCTGTTTCTTTCTGTGTGTCTCTTTTCTTTCTTTCCTTCCTTCCTTCCTTTCTTTCCTTTCCTTCTTTCCTTTCTTTTTCTTTCTTTCTTTCTTTCTTTCTTTCTTTCTTTCTTTCTTTCTTTCTTTCTTTCTTTCTTTCCTATCTATCTATCTATCTATCTATCTATCTATCTATCTATCTATCTATCTATCATCTATCTAATTCTCTCTGTTTCATTCGGTTTCTGTTTTTGTCTCTCTCCCTCCCTCCCTCCCTCCCTGTCTCTCCCCCTTCCCCAAGGGAAGAAAGCCTGACCCCTGAACTCACCGCTTGACACAAAGCATCTCCCTGGAGGGTTAGGACTCCTTTCACCTGGTCGACACTGAAATAAAGGCAGGGCATTAATGGGGCAAAACAAGGCGACCCTTCCTCGCCTTGCACACCAGCAATCCCTGGATAGTCCTGTTCCAATATTTGAGGGGCTTCTAACAAAGACAGGGGGGCGGGGGGGGGGACTGTTTTCCAAACGCTGAAAGGCAGGACGAGAAGCAACGGATGGGACCAGACCGAGAAGCAAAACTACGGGGAAATGTCCTAAGGGTGAGAGCGATGAACCAACTTGCCTGCAGAAGTTGTGGGTGGCTCTATCCCTGGAGGCTTTCCCAAAAAAAAAAAAGACTGCACAATCATTTATCTGAAAGGGTATAGGGTCTCCTGCATGAGCAGGGGGTTGGACTGGAAGACCTCGGAGGTCCCTTCCAATTCTATTATTCTATATCGGGGGGGGTCCCCAAACTGGGCAACTTTTAAAGACTTGTGGACTTCAACGATAAAGTGTTTTATGTTCCAAAACGGCCTTCTAACCATTTGGGAGAGATTGGGAGCGCCTGGTTTCAGCCAGCTTTGCCGGCACCAACGGTAATAAAGTGATTCTCCTAACAAGCAAGGGACAAACTGATTTAGCACCCAGGGGTGCTAGCTTCGCTTTGCTCTCCTTGTTCTTTTCATACAACTGGGTCGTGAATCTCAACACAGGCCCGGTGAGGGATTTGATGATGAAATGCATGCTGCCTTGAATACATTTTTTAAATAAAATAAAATAAAAATAAAAGGGCCGCCAGGCTTTGGTTGCAGCTGGCTGATCATCAGGCCGAACGTTCTGCTTCACCCACCCCCGGACACAGGAAAGAGATGAAAGGTTTCTCACACAGGGAACTCATTTCCTTTTCTAGAGAAGGCGAGGCATTAAATCAACAGCCCGGATCTCTCGCATCCGTTCTCCAGCTGCTAGGAAGGGAAGAGCAAGGGCACTTAAGACTCACATAATGCTTCACAGTGCTTTTGCAGCCCTCTCTAAGCGGTTTTCAGAATCAGCATAATGCTCTCGGCCAGGTGGGCCCTTGTTTTACCCGTCTCCCAAGGATGGAAGGATGGTGAGAATTGAACTGCTGGCAGTGGGCAGAGTCAGCCTGCAATACTGCATTTTAACTGCTGCTCCACCAGGAAGGAGAAT